AGCAGCTTGATTTACCACTGTTTCCAGATGCAGCAACAAAAACTGCTGCATAAAGGCAGTAAACAAGAGCTGGGCTAGGACATAGCCTTGCTTGAGGCTGTTTCTGACAGTGACATGTTCTGACATCTTGTCATCACTAAACCTTTTCATTACCTTACATCATCATGAAAGAACCAAAATGTACTCAGAAACTGATTTGGATACCCAAATTTATGCAGATGCCTTTGGGCTGCTCATGGCTGGCAGTGCTGGGATCTTCACCCAGCTCTGCAAAGGCCAGGTAGAGACTTTTGCTCACTTTGAAGCAGGACAGGGCTAAAAGTCAGACTATTTCTGCAAAAGCCTTTTCAACACCCTCACCAACAAATCGGCTGATGTCAATTGTGACAGGTATTTTTCCCAGCAGTTGAGAAAATCAATATACCTTGGTGTCACTGCAGGAGTGTTTTTACCTTTTTCATTGCAAAAGGTACTATGTACCTGTCTTCTTGAATGCTTTGAGATACCAATCTCTTTATTAGGTGATAGTAATGAACTCCTACTTTCTAATTGATTGGTGACACTCTATTTATGTGCAGCAGTAGGATGTGAGTAGGGACTTTGCCTTGCTCTGTGGCAATGGTCCAGATGCTGTAGGAAACTCTGCTCTTGATTTTTTAATGGGGAGCTGAGAAGTGGCTTTCAACTAAAGCAGGACTAAAGAATGCAAGGTGTAAGAAATTGCTGAGATATTTGAGCAGGCCATCTGCAATTTCTCTTTGATCAGCTAACAGGGTTAAAGTGCCACAGCATTTGTAGGGAATCTTGTCATTTCCACAAACTGCAGCTTTAGAAGCTTTTTCTATCATTTTTCAGTTGGCAAACCACAGGCTTTGCTTGTGATTTCTGCTTAGTTTTGTGGGAAACAGCTTTCTTGCCTGCCAGTTTTTATTTTTACTTGAAGCTAGTTCAGCACCTGCATGTCAGCAGCAATCTAATGGATGTGCCTTTACTTTAATCCAGTTTTAAGATCTGAATTCAGCAAAACCAGTGAGTTCAGTTTAAGATCTCACTAGACTCCCTTTGAACCTTTCCACACTGTGTTGACATCTGCTTGTGTCTACTGTTAAACTATAGCAACATCTTCTTTATCTTCACACCCACATGCCCTCTTCTGAATTTCATTCAGTATTTGTAGAGCAGCTCGGGGTCACCGAGCACTGCCTGACTCCTCAAGAGCTGTCAATCAGATTTGCCCTCAGTGCCCTCCAGAGTTTGGGGTCCTCAATGCCTCCATGAACTGAAGGATCACTTAACATTATCACATCTGCATTGCAGACTTTTGCATTTAGTCAGATGAGACCCCCAAAAGTGCTCTAGAATCTTATTCTGACCTTTAATCTTTAGTGTAAATTCATTATAAATACTTCGGCAATGCAGATATCAGTGGATTTCCTTCAGATTAGCATCACTATAGGAGAGAGTAAAATCTGGATAAAAAGAGAGTTTTGGCTTTTTAAAAGTTTGTTTGGCAAAACATGTTGTGTTTCATTAATGACTCAAGAATGATGCATTTTGAAATAATTGTGAAATCCAAATCTGTGTTTACGTAGCTTCTGTGTCTTACCAGTTAAAAAAGATGATGATGGAAGATAGAGAGGCACATGTAAAGAGCTTATCTTTTACAAGTAAAAGACTTAAGACTTCTAAAATTTTTAGTAGAAAAATTTCCCTTTACCTTCAGTAATTTAAAAGCTCCCTTTTATTTTCTCAGTAAGCAGTCTCATTTCCATCAGTTGGGAGAGTCAGGGAGAGAGGAAGCCTAGGCATCTACAGTCTGCTACTTGTCCTACTTCATGCCTGCTTTCCCAGATGGAATAAATCCACCCTTGGACTTGTTTACTGAGGGCTTCTTTTCTTTCACTGACTGTACAGGAGTCTAAATTACTAAATTAGTGTAAGACTTTTCTCGTCTCCCTGCTCTGCTCACTTGCTCCACTACCAGGCTTGGTACATATCCCTCTCCAGCTGATTCTGTGCACACAGCTCATTCCTGCTTTTAGTCCTTATGCTGTGTGGCAGGAGGCCACCCCCAGGTCTCTCCTGAGTGCCCCAAAGCAAAGATCACAGAGGGATTTGCAAGAGACCGAAAAGCAATCAAGAGTTTTCCAGCATTCTTGCAGCCTCTTGGCCAGCTGGGGGGTGCTGGTGAGGGAAAGCCAGAGTGGATGTGACAGTGCCCGTGGGCAGACCCCAGGCTGGCTGGGATCTGCTGAGGAGGCAAGAGTCTTCCTTCAGTCAAGGGTGACTTGATAAGCAGAGACTTCAAGGGAGATTCATTCCATCTACCTTCAGGCATCTACAGAGCAGATTTCTGAGCTTGAATTAGCCACTGTAGGCTCCTTTCCAATGAATGCAGAGAAATGTCCACTTCCTAGGAAGGATTTCTTGAGCTATTTTAGGCACCTTTTATATGAATTGCTACCTCAAAATTACTGTTTTCCTGCCATGACCATACAGGTTGCCTAGGTGGCTTGACATCAGCAAGAACGGAAAGTACTTGAATGATACTCTGTTAGGAGTAACTAAAATGGTAAAGCTCATCATACTGTGCAAAAAATAATTCAGAGCTAGGAAAAAAACTTGGGCGATTTATCCAACTTCCCCCCATTTCCTTACTCTTCCTAAGCCCTCTTCCAAAGGCTTACTGTCCTTATTAGCTGTTGAGCTGAACCCTTGATCTGACACAGGATGGCCACTCTTGCAATCTTATGACCAGCTCTGATGTTTTCATTTCCCCTGCAGATATTGACATTTTATCAGATTAATTGCTCCCATCTTTTCTCAAATTTGAGTTCTGGACAGTAAGCAGTATGTGCTTTTGCAAATTAAACTGCAGTGTAAATAAATTAATGAAAAATACTATGCTCGGAAAGTGGTCTTGATGTGAAACCTGAAACAAGAAACCAGAAGAATATGGGGTTTTTTATCAGATGTCAATCTGCATGACAGCAAGTCTGTTTGTGAGAGATGGGTTATGCCTGATCTCAGAGATCTTTGCCCAATTAGAAGGGCTCACTGGAAGAGCTTTAAACTAGATTTGAAAGGGGAAGGGGATAAAACTGGTCTAGACAGAGACAAGCCTAGAGGCAGTACATCAATGTTCGATTGATGTCCTAACATGCTCCTTTAGTCTGCTGCCTCAGTGGCAGGGGGATGGAGAAGGATGGAGATCCACAAAGCAGCAAAGATGCAGGTGTCATTTAGGTGTTAGAAACCACACAAGTGTGTGAATGCTCATGGGCTTCTACCCCCAAGAAGGCAGTGGGAACAACAGCCCAAATGAAGTGCATCTGCGCCAGGGCATGCAGAATGGGCATAAACAGGAGGAGCAGGAATTCATTATGCAGCAGGAAAACTATAGTACAGTTGCCATCACGGAAACAAGGTGGGGAGGCTTGCACAACTGCAGTATTGCAATGCAGTCCTGTCAGCCTGACTTCAGTGCCAGGGAAGATGATGGAGCAGATCATCCTGAGTGCCATCAAATGGAATGTGCTGGATAAGCAGGGGATCAAGCTCAGCCAGCATGGGCTTGTGAAAGGCAGATCTTGCTTGACCAACCTGTCTCCTCCTATGATGGAGTGACCTGCCTAGTGGATGAGGGAAAGGCTCTGGGTGTGTCTACCCAGACTTTATAAATCCTTTGATATCATTTCACACAGAATTCTCCTGGAGAAACTGCTCATGGTTTGGATCGGTACACCTCCACTGAGTGAAAAAGCTGTTTGGATGGCTGGACCCAGAGAGTGGTGGTGCATGGAGCTAAATCCAGCTGATGGCCAGTCATGAGTGGTGCTCCCTGGGGATCACTATTTGCACTAGTCCTGTTTAATATATTTATCTGGGTGTGGAGATCTAGCAAGTCTGAGCCAACACCAAGCTGTGTGGGTGTGTTGATCTGCTGGAGGGTAGGAAGGCTCTGCAGTGGGATCTGAACAGGCTGGATCCACGGGTTGAGGCCAATGCTGAGGTTCCACAAGGGCCAAGTGCCAGATCCTACACTTGGGTCACAACAACCCCATGCATTCATCCCAAAAAAACCTAATCTATCTATAATTTCAAAGTAATCAAGGACCAAAAAAGGGAAAAGAAGTATTCCGAAACTCAGGGGAAAATATATTTTAGAATCTCTCCTCTTCTCTGACACACTTTACTTGAAGTACTACTAAGCGTGGAGCATCGGTTTGGCCTCAAGGGCAAGGGTAAGAAGAGCAGAAAAGCCCTTTCAAATGATTGCTTGGATGTTCAGAAAAGTGCAAAGGAATGTGTGCACATGAGGACATTCACTGCGTATGGAAGGGGAAAATAACTGCTGAGGGAGGTCATTAACCAAGTGTGCTCCTCCAAAAAGCAGAAAGCACAGAGAGGCCAACACTAAAGATGATGCAAAAGCAGATTGCTGAATGGAGAAACCCTGGAGCTCTGAGATGGGTTCTGCAGCCATCCTGCAGAGAGGAGGAAGATACTGGGGGGAGGGTGGCTGTGGAAGAAACACCATTTGGGGGGGAAACTCTGGTATGAGTGCACACATATTAGCATGTGCATTCCAGCATAGGGGTACACGGAGCACCTGAACAATCCACATCCCGCAGCCTTGGTCTGACACACGTATTTTTGTCCAGCCACACATTTTTTATGACGAAGCTGGAAGTTGGTGGACCTGCCTTTCCCGGGGAGCCGTCGCGCGGAGCCCGCGGCGGCGCTGCCTGCCCCTGCCGCGCTCCGGCGGGACGGGCCCGGGGGCGGGCCGGGACAGGCCGGGGCGGGCCCGGGGCCGGGACGGGACAGGACGGGGCGGGCCGGGGCGGGCCCGGGAGCAGGACGGGACGGGCCGGGCCGGGGCGGGCCCGGGAGCAGGACGGGACGGGCCGGGGCGGGCCCGGGGCCGAGACGGGACGGGCCGAGACTGGCCGGGGCGGGCCCGGGGCCGGGCCGGGACAGGACGGGGTGGGCCCGGGGGCGGAACGGGACAGGACGGGACGGGCCCGGGGCCGGGCCGGGAGGCGGCGGAGCCGGGAGCGGCCATGGGGAAGCTGCTGGCGGTGGCTCTGGTCGGGATAGCGGCAGCCTTGGCGGCGGAGCGGCTGCTGGCGTTCCGGTGGGTGAGCGGGGTTGCGGGGCTGAGCGGGCGGGGGCGGGCGCTTCCCTCCGCCCTCCGAGCGGGGGAACACCGCAGCTCCCGCAGTCGGGCACAGCTTAGCCAACACCTGCCCTGCCTCAGCGCAGCGTCAGCCAGAGAGGAAGGGTTCTTCACCATCACCATCATTGCCGTCAATATTATCAAGAGAACCGTTTTTCCCCGGAGAAAATATGGGCACTGTGATGCCCTTTTCATCCGATTTCGGCATTAACTAACTTCGGGACCATTTATGCAGAGGGAATGCCCTTTGCACTGAGTGGATGCGAAATCCTCCCCAGGATGATAGGAGCGAGGGGGGCAAGGGAAGAAGGTGCCCAGGGGCAGGGGGTTGTACCTCTGTTTTTATAAAGCCTGCAATTAACAGGGATGAGCCAAAAGCGCTGTCCATGAATTTACCTCATCTCCTGCCGACTGGCCAAACAGTAACCCCAAACAGTTCGCCAGAAACTTGGGTTATGTTCTACCAAAGCTGACCTCTGGATAACAGTAGCACCTATGTACATGGGGTTTCCTCTGGTGGAGCCCAGACTCTGGCGATCATAAGTTGTGACCTCACTTACTGTGAGCTGAAATACCCAGCCATGTCACGCTCCATATCCCACACCTCATGCCGTGAGGTGTGAATGTGCGCACAGGTGTTACAGCAGCTTCTGTCCTGAAAGCTCCTGAATGTGTCACTGGTCCTTTCAATCACAAAAATGATGCTGAATTACTGTATTGGAAGATACTATGTCATTATAATTTTGTTTATGTTCACATGGACCCCAAATGCCTGATTTCATAGCAATGACATCCAGCTAATTGAACTTTGGGTAGATAGTATTTGTATCTAATTACAGAAGAGCAGCATTACTGCCTGGACCCTGGTACCTGACATGGATGATGGCTGCATTAAATCCACCATAAGTGTTATTGGCGATAGCCACGGTGGTAACGGGGCCCTCCTGTGCTGGAGTTACATAAACTGGGATAGCAGGACTGGAAGATACTCCCAGGCTTTAGTTGGGGGAGCCATTTCAAAGTGCTGTGAAGAGCACAGGACTTCACCTCTCCTCCAAACTGAACAAACAAATGAAACGTTAGGAATCTAGTAAAGGAGAATCTCCATGAAGAAACAGGATCCCCCTGTCTCTGTAGCTCTCTGTGGGTTTTTCCTGTGTGCTGTGTTTTCTGCAAATTGCAATGTACAAGCAGTCTTAAGAAAGTTGCCAAGTTTGGAAACACACAACTTCAGATCACAAAGTACTCTAAAAGTAATTTAACATAGTCTTGAGAGGAGAAACTGTGGGTGGTGTTAGTTCTTGCCAAGGGTCTCTTTTATTCATCCCCTACCCAGAGGGCAAGAATCCAGCAAAGACTTTCTGTAGTTCCTTCTGAATTTGTTAAAAAACACCAGAGTCAAATCCCTAGAGATTCATGATTGGTTCGTCTAGAGATGAGAAAAAGTAAAAGAGAGAGAGGTCTTTTAATATGCAACAGGTTCCTTCTGAAGGAAAGGGAAGGCCTGTGGTCTGTGTACCATGAGGTAGGGCAGCAGGTTGAGGACTCAGACTGGAAAGAGAAACTGTGAGGGAAAAGATGCCATGCCCTAGACTTGCACCAAGTGGCAAAAACTCTTAATTTCTTTGAAATTGCATCACACACATATTGCAGGTCTTCCATATTCCAGGCCTTAGTATGGCCAGTTAGTAATCTAAGCCATCTGGCTGCGTGGCTGAGGCTGTCTGAGCTAGATAAACTGACACATTTTGGAAAAGCCTCTATATATGCTGCAGGCTTGTGACTGGCGTCCTTTTGAATTACTCTCATTCCAGCCCATGAAGCGTTTTCCTGGGAATGCTGTCGGGATATCATCATCCCTTGCTGGCTGCTGGCTGAGTTCCTGCTGTGCTTTTGGCTTGGGGTGGTTTGCAGCCTGCCTGGGAAAAGTTGGTGAAAATAGGGAAGGGAAAAGCCCTAGGCAGGCAGCAGTGCATCTTCAGGCAGGATCCCCTGAGCCACCCTCAAGGGCTTGGTGGGTTTGGCTGTGCCAGGATGCCGGTGGGTGAGGGGGATATCTCTCCTGTGCTGTTTGTGGGCTGGGAGCCAGCGTGATTCTCTGTCAGTTCTCCTGTGCTGGGAGAGAGGGCTTGGGAGGGTTTAACTTGGCTCCTTTCCTTTGCAGTCATCTGCACTTTTTACTCTTTTTCTTCTTTTCTTTTGGCCTTATATTAACAACCCGTGTCAGTGATACAGCATTGAAGCAATTCACAACTCATATTTAAGTGATTTAAAAACACAGGACTGACATACCATACAGTGCTCAACTGTGTCACATATTTTTCATATCACTGACTGATACTGCTGTTTAGTTTATGTTTATGCCTAAAACCATAACATAAACATGAGAAGGTTTTGCTGTGGGATCTTTGCATTTAGAATTTCCTGTGATTGCAGCAACAGCCTCAACATATGCATATGATAGTCATGCAAAAGAGTTACTACGTTAGGTTAAATGCTTCCTTCTGGCAAAAAAAAAAAAAAAAAAAAATTCTAGCACACTAGGATACATAGAAATGCAACACATTTTCTTGTGTCATGCAGACCAGCATGGTCAAGCTTCCTGGTTGTGAGGTGGTCATGCAGATTTGCAAACAACTTGGAACAGTGGAAACGGAGAAATATGAACTTGTGTGTGCCTGTCTGTATCTGTTTGTCCAATGAAGTATGAGAGGTAGAATTTCATGTACATTCATGAATGAAATAAGCACTGATGAAGGGTAATGCTTGGGGTGGTTACCAGGAGTGAAGAGGAGGGGACAGGGTAATTGCTGGAAACCATACTACCAAGTCCTGCTTGTTGTAAGGAAAAGAACTCTCCTGACCTTGCAACTGTGCTGTTGCTACCTTTGAATGTAGACAAAAAAATGAAGAAAGTGCAACTGCTGGTGGTCTGGTCATCAAAAACAGGCAGTGGGTTGCAGTAAAAGATTACCCTCTCCTCATGTGAAATGTTGGTCCTAACTGTAGGGTGCTTCTGTGCTTCTATATTTAGGTGTGTGAAACCTGAAGAAAGTGTGGTTATGTTATCATCTGAGCTGCAGTGGGTCATGAAAGTTTGTTGCTGAAGCTCATGAACAAAACAATGTTTTTGAAGATACTCAGTGTAGAAGAATCACTTAATCCTTGGTCATGTGTAACCATTGCAGTGATTTGGAGCAGTTGCCATTGTTGGTTCTGGAGTTTGCTTATTTGGTATTTTATGGCTGATTTGTTGCTGCAGTGTGGCAGACAATGAAACTGAAAACTGGGGAAGTTACCTGTTTTCAAACTGGCTGTGTGCTATTTAACCCTGCTCTTTCCTCTTGCAGGAACAGATTCAATGCTTCACGGGAAGTAGCCCCAGTGAGCCTCCCGAACTGCCGGCTCATTAAAGGGATTGGTACGTGCTTAAAATAACTGAGTGCATTGCTTTTGTCCAGACTTCTTTTGCAGTGGCTTCTTAAAGCCAGCTTCCAAGCCTGATCCCAAAAACAAAGTGCTAATTTGACTTTGATTTGCTATTTGGACTTGAAGATAGGGAGAAACTGCACAAAAAATAGTACTGAAAAACTAGCTGGGTAGAAGTCGGTATTTAATTTATTTTCCTTTTCTTAAAATTGAGTACCTTGGAGCACTTCTCCTTTGCTAAGCCACTTAGGAAATGATTTGGCTTTTAGATGAGGGTGTGCTGGCTCTTCAGGCAGGCACCTACAGGATGCTGTCAGCTGGTTACACCAGTTGGGAGATGGGAAGTGCTGTAAGGGTGGAAGCCTTAGCAGACCATAGGCTATAGCAGAGGAGCATCTGCTAAATGCCAGCCAGGCTGCTCCTCCTCAGTGCCACGTTTTGGGGATATTTAGGAGCCGGCTGGTGCTGTTATGCAATGCAGCTGTGCGGTTCCAAAGAGCGAGGGGTCATGTTTGTCATCTTAGTCTGGTTTGCAGAGAGATTTAACAGAAGGGCTGAAATGTTGACTTTGTACTTTGGGCCATGTGTTTAGCACACAGCGATATTTATGTCTTGGTTTTTTTTCTCTCTACTTAGGATAACCAGTTTATGAAATTGATAGCTTTGATATTGATTGCTTTTTTTGTGTCTCCTTCTCTCCCAAAAAACCTCAATGCTGGCTTGATGTCTACGGATTTCCCCCTCCTTAGTAGTTTTGGAAATGGCTTAAATTATGTTGAAATTTGTCTGGATTTTCCATGTGTAAAAAGTCATTGGATGAGCTTTTACAGCTTTGCCTTTGAGCTTGCTGAGTCAGTTAGTTGATGTCATAAATCTTGTGTCAGGATTCAAACATCTCTATAAAGTCAAATTGCTGCTATGAATGTGTGTATGCAGAGTTCCTGTGCTTGAAAATATGTACAGAAAAAAATACATTAAAAAAAAAAAATGTCCAGGTCTTCTAGATTAAGCTGTAATTTACTCATACAAGACTATGAATGATGCTTCTTTGGTGGTGTTTAATATAAAATAATTTCTGAGTATTTTTTTAAGCATATCACTATTGCAATCTTTGTAACACATTTTGCAACATTATTGTTCTGTTGAAGAAAGAAGGAAAAGTGGAAAAGACAAATAGAGTTGTATTTAATTTCTGAACAGTATCTTGGTTTTTGTGCCTGACATTTACATGTGGATTAGGTTATTTCTGAGAATCTGTCTCTCCTTAGAGGCAGTGGATCCATTTACAGAGCTCCATCTCTGCTTCTTGCTGGCTCCTCTAATGCTGCCCCTTCACACAGAGAATTGCACCTTGCCTTTCCTTTGCTCTGCAGTTTGCTGCTCATTAGAAAAATTAAAATGCCAAAAACTTGTTTAGCAGGTCCAATGTAGCAGAAAGAGAAGTAATAAAGGATTGTGCAGGCTTAAAAATTGGCATGTTCACTCAAATATCTTCTAAAACTCATTTGCTGTGGCCAGGGGGCTTATATCACTCAGGGTGATCAAGGATCCATAAAGTTTAAATGCTGCCTAGGTAGTACTGTTCAGACACGGGATTCTGCTGTGCCTGCATGGGTGACTTTGTCTAAGGATGTCTTTGTACATGGACATCTTGGCCTCCTGGGCATTTTTCCTTTAAAATGCTAGGATAAAGCTGAGTAAACAATCTGTCCTTTTTTTAATGTTTAAAGCAGTCTTTCTGAACTCTTAAATATGACATAGGTCCCAGAGCTGGATCTGAGCAAAATAATCCTAATCTATTAATTCTGTACATAGAGGAACAGACCTCTCGTACAGTAAGTGATGGATCTATAGTAAGTGAAGCAAACACAGAGTAAATGGAAGACTTCTCTAGTGGACCCTTTTCTTACTGCACAGTTTCATCTTTTCTGTATCTTTCTAAAGACTTCAATCTATTCTGCTTTTCAAATATTGTGCAATATAAGCACAGATGCAAACATTGAACAAACAAAACTTGCAGTTTATCCTAAACCTCATTCACAAATATGTAGGAAAGGCTATATTTGTAGAATAAACACTAGCTTCTGAGTTGTATTGATGCCTCATCATGTTACTGGTTTATAATAAACTAACCATATCTCCTGTACTAATTCCTAAAATTCAAGAAGCTACTGCAGATGTTGCTTGAAATACTTGCATCTTGCAACAATTCGTGGGGTATGGGCAAAACAGCGTCACCCTTTTGGACTTGAAATCCATATGGTTTTTTTTGTTAGATACACCTGCAGAATACATCATGCTAGGATAAAATAAAGAACAACAAAAAGCCAATGTTTCTAAAGTAGGCAGCAGGTTTTCACACGATCTTTTAATTTTTCTTAAATGCCACCTCTTCAGATAATCCCGCGGACAAGTGGGGCTCAGTGATACGATTAAACAACATAGTGCATACAAGTGATAGCTGAGGGGTCAGTTCCTGCTGTCCTGGCCCATAGGGCACCTGCAGCAGCAGCGCAGAGCCCCCCCAAAACAGAGCATGCAGGAGAGTCCCTGAGCCCCCCTGAGCTCCCCCTGTGTGTCTGCAGTCCCTCCTCGGCGGGGCTGGATCTGCAGGGCTCTGCTGACTCAGCATTCCACTGCTCTCCTGACGCCACTGGCTTCCACACATTCCAGGCCCTGGCCATGGAGCTCCCAAAATGTGCTTTGCTGGGCAGTTCCTCTTGAAGCAGTTGGGCGCAGAGCTCTCAGTGCGCTCCTTCCTCCGGAAACTTGTAGTTTTTAATTATCTGCTCCCAATTAGCCTGCTCATCTCTCTGCTTGGCAGCCTCACCGATTCAGTAGCGATAAATAATTATATCTCTGTTTATTCACTCACCAGTGTGTGCTGCCAGTAAAAGCTGTCTGTCCAGTTCATGTCACCATGGCAATTGAGCCTCTCAGCTTTTATTTATGCCATTAGCCTTGCAGCAATCCTGGGAAGTGGAGAATTACCACTAACCCCATTTTATAAATGAACCCAGGCTTGGAGACACTGGGGCATGGGAGAGGAGTCTGTGGCTCAAACCAGAGTGTAAGCTGAGCTGATTAAAAAAAAAACAACAACAACAACCAAAAAAAAAAAAAAAAAACAACAAAAAAAAACCAAAACCCTAAAAAAACCCCCCAAATTCAAAACTTTATTGGTAAATATAGACTCTAAGTGTTTCTGGACATATCAGTGCAGATGTTGTCTCCTGCCTGAGTTAGTCAAAATTCAGAACCAAAACCCAGGGTGGGATAACACCTGACTCCTCCCAAAATGCATCTTCAGATATTTTGCTCTTCAGAAGGCAGGGATACTCTGCTTTTTGCTGTCGTGAGATGGAGCAGGGACTTGCTGAGGTTGAGGAGGAGCTGGCTCTGGCCAGAAGTGAGAAGATGTGACACTGCATCTTCCCAGGACTGAGCTAGGGAGGAACTTTCATGGATGGGTGAATTTGTGGTTCTGGTTTCTCTCCACAGAGGCTGTCAGTGATCCCAGGATTAATTACAGCCCAGGCAAACCAGTGCTTGGATAAATAGTAGTTGCTTAAAAGCAAACTGTAAACTAAGCTCAAATTTGCAGGTGCTTCCTTGGAAGGAGGTGTTGAGGTGCAAGGGATTGTGTGACCCATGCAGGTTCTCACGTGGTTATGGAGAAGCAGGAGGGGGTGTGGAGACATGGGACAAGCTGGGTGGAAAACCCTTATGTTAATGGCTCTGATAAAGAAAACCTGCTGAAGAATTTTCTTTAATCAAGTGCTCCTGAGTGGTTTCCCTCATCATCTGGAAAGTGACTTGTGAGGAATGCTGTTTTTGCTGGTGATTTGGAGAAAAGAGGGGAGGCTTCTCAGGGGAGTGGTAGAAATGTGAGATGGCAAACAGCCTTCAGCACTGGACTAAAAGCTCTTTGGAGAGTGCTTTATGAAAATATAAAATTGCTCAAGTGTTCTTACTAATGGCTTTTTATTTTATCTTCCTTTCTTAGCAGGGAAAAATATTACAGGAGCAATTACATGAAGAATTGGCAATATTGGAAGTGATTACCTGTAGTTGAAAGTGAGGTCTAACTATGAAAGCCCTTAGCTGTTATAGATATAGTAGATTCTCTGTCACTTGAGAGCTTTAACTAAATATTTGAAAATCCATTTTTGTGAAGTGTCCGAGCTCAATCAGGAGAATTAGTGTGCACAATTCCCACAGCTGCCTTATGCAAGCCTGAGGCCTGAGTCACGGGTATGGTCCTGCCCTGGAGATCTCCATGCCCACACTAACTGCTTGCTGCAGAGCACATCCTCAGGAGCTGGTGATTCATCTCACAACATCTGGGAGCACATGGAGCTGGGCAGGAGACTGCCTGGCCATTGCAGGGGCATCCCTGGGCCTCCAAAAGACATGAACCTGGTACTATTTCCTAACCTGATGTGCTGTCTTCTGCTACCACTTTTAATGCAGTGGCCAAATTTTTCCACCAAATACCATCATGTGTGCGGTCATACCAGAAAGGATCACTCATGAGAGCTGGAGTTGTACTTAAAAGGAGATTTTTTTCAATGGGAAATACTTTATGTCACCTGAAAACTCCTGTTTATCTCCGTTTTGCAGAAGCTGGTTCAGAAGACATTGATATACTTCCCAATGGACTGGCTTTCATCAGCTCTGTAAGTTCCCATGCCACCTTCCCATGCTGGGGCTTGCTTGCTTCCTTATCTGCAGAAGCCATAGGTGAAAACAGCACGAGGGGCTCTTTTCTACAAGTCTGACTGGCTCCAAAAGAACAGCCCAGTCTTGTGTTGGCTTAGCTGTCATTCCCCTCAGCAAGCATGCTTCTTGACACAGAAGTGGTGTTGGTGGCTCTGACACGGGTATCCTATCATACTGCCTTACCTGGCCACATAACCTTGGCTTTCTTTCATGCTGCTTCATTGAAATGTGGAAATGTCAATCCTCTACTATGTTAAGAAGCTGTGTTAATTCCCTAACTAAAAAAAAAATGAACTTTATGTATCAATTTTGCTGTTCCTGATTTTTTTAGCCATTAGGAGATAGGTTTTCAACCTTTTCTTTGCAATTAGGATGGCTGGCCATGGGACACCCTCATGTGTGCTTGCAAGTCCGATCAAGGCCCTGGCTTTTTCAACCCTGTGATTCTCTTGTTTACCTTTTACCCAGGAATTATCTTCTTATGTTTGAATTCTACAGGGCTTGAAATATCCAGGATTAAAGAGCTTTGCTCCAGATAAGCCAGGTGAAATATTTTTGATGGATTTGACTGAAGACAATCCCCGAGCAGTGGAACTGAGAATCAGCCGAGGGTTTGATCTGGCATCATTTAACCCTCATGGAATCAGCACCTATATAGACAGAGGTAAAGAGCTCGAGATGGTGGCAAATACCAGCCTAGAGAGCACAATCAGGAATCCCTTTGTAGCTTGCCCTGCACCCCCAAATGGTGGTTCTTGCTGGGAGACAAAAAGGTTTGGGGTTTTTCACCTTCGTTTTGCTCTTTTCTAAATGTCATTTGGTCAAGGAAGCACACTTGCACCTAATTTCAGTCTGTCTGAAACAGAAGGATGCCCTGGATATGAAAAGGAAAGAAAACATGGTAACATTTGGAGTTGAAAACCGCAGAAAATTGATTTTACATTTGCATGTGTCTCACACTGGGTTCAAGTGTTTTGAGGAGATACATCATTCACTGATTTGTAGTGCTCAGAATTAAAACTTTGTGGCAAAACAGTAAATTATAACCTCTCTGTAAATTACTAAAACCTCTGTTACTCTTTGGCAAGCCAGGCTCTCTTCTCCAAGATAACGTTCTACTACGTCAGGCTCTGATTACTAATAAAGTATATTTTCCTCTGTCCTTTCATTGGGGGTTTTAGCAGGGCAAGTAGAATTCTGCAGATATAAAGAAAACAATTGCTGCAGCTTGACCTCCATCCCCATACAGACACCCTTTAAGGGAAGGTGTTGGAAAAATCAGTGATGGCTAATGTAGGGTCCTACTAGAAGGGCTGGACAGATGGTCTGCAGCCTTGCACAGAATGCAGGAGAAGGATGTTCCTTCCACTCTCCCAGGGGATGTGGTAGACAAACCCAAGAGCCCAAACTGCCTTGGTCACAAACCCTTCTTCCAGCTGATTGGGGCTGTTTCACAGACTGCAAAACCCAGTGGCCTGGGTATAAGGATGAGGTGGTTATTTCTTTCTTCCTTGGAAGATATAGCAAAAATCTATTACTAACAAAGCAGTTCCCTGTCGAGACAGCCTGGGAGAAAAGTAGCAGGAGATCTGGATCTGGTTGCAGAGGCATCTTGCAGAATGTGGGTACTCATCCCTCTGCCTCTGTAGAGCCATGAGACAAATGCACCAGACTGAGCACATGCTCTGTGCTCGAGGCTGCCTCAGGGCTGGGGGGCTCAGCCACACAAACTGCTGCGGAGAACTCAGCTGTTTCCATTTCTTTCTTTCATTTTTCAAGATGACACCGTGTACCTCTTTGTTGTGAACCATCCCCACCAGAAGAGCATGGTAGAATTGTTTAAATTTGTAGAAGATGACAATTCTCTTGTACACCTGAAAACCATTCAACATGACCTTCTGACAAGGTATTGGACTCAAATACAGTCTTCCTCCAGATCAGGCTGCATTGGTGAAATCCAATGTAGGATGACTTTTGGGTTTAGGCTATTATTAAGAGAAGGTATTTCCTCTTTAACCAGCATCCCTGTTTCTCGCACTGATTACTTCTTATCTGTGTAATCAAAAGCAGCATTTCTCCAATCTCTCCTCTAAATTAGTTTTTTAATAGTTGTGTCACTAAATTAGTCTTAAGCGCTGCTGTGATCGATGCCAGTGAATTAGCTTGGCATCCATTTTGCCTTTGTTCATGTAACCCACACTCAGGTCATTACAGATATGAGTCTCCAGATATTTTATTGTCTGGATTTCCTACACTGTGAAAATAAACATGTATTTAGCTTTTTCTGTTTTTCTTGGTTTTAATACTAAATTGTTTTGGTCTGTCCTGCTGCAATATGATTGTAAAATAAACAGCCAGATTGATAAAGTTGTCACAACACTTACTTGTTCTCTTATTTCTACTTGAATGTAATGAAAAAGGAAATAATACTATTACTAATAAAAAAAATATTTCCCTGTACTTAAGGACAGGTAGCCAGATCTCTAGCTGATGCCCTATGGCCCTGTTCAGGTTTCAGCACTGCACTGTCCTGGCTCATAGAAAATAGAAGTAAAAAGGGTCTAAATAATTTGGTGACTACTTGAAGTACATCTGTAATTTCAGCCTCTTTATGGGTATTGATGTTCTGACTGTATTCTGGGCAGTCCTAAAATACTCCTTCATACCTCTAATTTATTTTTTTTTTATTTCTCCATCTCTTTATTTCTTTTTTAGTGTGAATGATATAGTAGCCATGGGACCAGACAGCTTCTATGCTACCAATGACCACTACTTCTCTGACTTCCTCTTGATGTTCTTAGAAATGTTCTTGGGTTTAACCTGGTCAAATGTTGTTTACTACAGTCCAAAAGAAGTTAAAGAAGTAGCATCTGGTTTTTATTTAGCCAATGGAATTAACATTTCACCTGATAGAAAGTAAGTTTCTCCTGATATTAGACTTTGTTTTATCACACAGAAGTATCTGGAGATCTTAATTTGTACACCTGGTACCTCTGTGCTCAGGGGTCTGAACTGGTTCGTGTAAGGCAAGGTTCTACCTGTGCAACACAAGTGATGCAGAGTGTTTGTAGCACGGAAGTTTTGTGTCTTGGTGTTTAGCAGCAGTGTTTGCTGCATTGTGTGGTATTTTATAGGCAATAAGGTCAACAGTTGCTGCATTTTAACCAGCTGATACAGGAGTTTGTGTGTCTTGCTTGCAAGGATTAATGGGGCAGGAGTGCTCTATGGTCCTACATCTGTATGACTGAATCAACCAGTCCTGTAGTGTGGACAGGTGATTTCAAAAAATAAATCGTAATTGTGATTTTCTGGTTCCAAGGCTTATTTCAGTGTCATAATGGAAAAACTAGCACAGTGTGAAGCTACATTGGCATCTCAGTGTAGTTGAGCTGCTCAGCAGGTTGGCTTCAGTGCCCTGTGGCTGGCTTGCAATGTCTGTTTGTGTGTGGGTTTGCACAGGAGGAACCGTCTAGTTTTGGTGTCTGCTTACGTATATTTATTAAAAGGTACTTTTCTTTCTTTTGAAGGTATGTCTATATTGCAGATGCATTGGATCATAATGTCCATGTCATGGAAAAACATGCTAACTGGAGTTTAACCCATGTGAAGGTAAAGTGCTACTGTTCTATAAAAAAGAGGCAAATGTGGATTTTGGACAGAATAGTTTCAATGAATGCTTGAGATTTCAGCATGATCATCTGTCAAGTTCTGATCTGGGTGGCTCCTGCTGTGGGTTTCAGAGGTGTCTGCATACCCCGTTACAGAGCTTCAAATCTTCTACCCTCCCCGCAACGACCAGGGAGGAATCCTTGGGTATGCTGGCAAGCTGTAGAGGAAGCCTCAGGCAGTGGGGGTCAGAGCACTGACAGCGTCCATAGAGGTGTAGATGTGAATGAGCTGATGGAGGAAACTCAGAGCAGCAAGAAGGTTTCTCATAGCACAGGGGTGGGGATGATGCATACCAGGGGAAAAGAAAAACAAGGAAACAAGTGGGGGGGAAAGTATTTCTTAAAAAAAACAGTCATAAGTTATGTCAGATTAGAGACAAGTCTATTGGTTATATTGTAGTTTACTTCCAGGATTTCTGATAGATTTATTTTTTTACTTTTCCTCTATCTTGGCTAGACACTGCAGCTGGACACTCTGGTCGATAACTTGTCTATTGACCCTCACACTGGAGACATCTGGGCAGGATGTCATCCCAATGGGATGAAGCTGTTCTACTATGATCCTGAAAATCTTCCTGCATCTGAGGTGCCTTTTGGGAGACATCACTGGTTGCTTGGCTATGTCTGTGCCAGAAAGTTGTTTTGTTCAATATGTGCTGGTATAACTTAACTGCATTTCATAGAAAGTGCTTGGCACAAAATGCCTTTGTTAAAGCAAAGATCAAGCTGGATTCTGCTCTCAAGTGAGAGCCTCAACAGCATAAACTCACTAACAAACACCTATTCACATCCTTGGGCAACAACTAAATAATTTCCAACCAGTAGCTCAGTCACTTTGGACTCCTCAGGCTGCTTTCTCTGCAGCTGTGGACATGCACACAGATTCTGATGAACTGCATTAATTACTGAGCCAGCACCTCTTTGCCAAACTAAGCATAATTGTCTGAGTGCAAAGTGTGACCAGAAATGTTTCCGCAGGAATGATTAATCTGTGCAAGTGTGGTTCATTTGTAGGTAACATGGTAATTCTTCTTTCTATGAAATCAGTGAGGTACTGGCATCAGGGTGATAGTGCTACGAGTGCAACTAGCTGCTGTCCATTGGAGTTCAGCATTGTCTAAGCTCCCTGTAAGACACTTCTCAAAATTACCATGTTCAATAGCAATAGATTTCTGATACTAGGCAGTTGTTTACTCTGTCTGGGAAAAATATGAAAATAAGAAACTATTAACTAACTCTTAGTCTGGAAAAAAATGTGCGCATTCCTAGTGGTGGGGATGACTGCCTGACTTCCTTGCAGCTGTTTCACAACTTTAAAAAAAAAATCAATGTTCATGGACTGTGCTTCATTAAAGGTACTCTCACAGCAATCACATGGTTGCCATTATCAGCAGCTGGGCATCCTAACTAATTTGTTTAAATTAACATGCTGATGTTCCCCCTCTCCCTGGAGCATTTCCCCCATGAGCATTTCAATAGATGTGTCCTCCCACTCTGGCAGGTCCTGCGCATCCAGCACATCCTCTCGGAGCAGCCTGTGGTGACACGTGTCTACTCTGACAACGGCTCTGTGCTGCAGGGAAGCTCAGTGGCGTCCATCTACGATGGGAAACTGCTCATTGGCACAGTCTTCCACAGAGCCCTCTACTGTGATCTATAGCTCCTCACGGGCAAGACCTGCTGCTGTGGAAAGGACTTAATTCCTTGGGAATTCATTTAGTTTCTGCTAGATCTGCTAACAGCAAGACTGTTCCAATAAAAGTTAACTACAGTAATGGAAATGTATTTTAGTCTTCCTCTCCAAAATGAGACTTCTACACTATAGTAAAGAACATGGAATTGAAGGTGAGAAATTAGTTTATCTATGTAATGGGGAGGAAGTTTAATTTCAGATTATAAATAACTAAACTGTCAGACACTGAACTATATGCTAGCTGGATTTTTGGTTTGTTGTTTGGGTTTTTTTCCCCCCCATGAGAAAACTGATTTTGTAAATGATAATTGCTGACTACCAGTGTGGTGTGCATTCTTGTCACTGATCCCTGGGCCTTCCCAGGGACTGTGCTGGGGGTTTTCTTCCAAACCTTCCCATTGTCTTTTCCTAATGCTTCCAAAATAACGGAAGGAGAATAAATGTCATTTCAGTCTCATTCATTTCCCTTTCCCATTTAAAGCCATTTCCCAATGTTCAGTTTTATAAATTTGTTTTAATCCGATGTGAAAAGAGTAGGGCATCACTGTGGAGAGGTTTCTGACTGGGTCTTTCAAAAGGAGGTTAGAAAAGCTTTTTTTTTTTCTCTCTTAAAGAGTGGGAAACACCTCCTGCACACCTTCAGCAGGAAGTGCGTTTGCAGTTCCTATTGTCTGTCACCACAACATGAGCATTTCTGGGTGCATTGCAGTGACTCCCCCGAGCCATGGTCATACGTTCTGTGTTTAATTTCAGCTGGTGTGGAGTTGATTTCTGCAGCACTGCTGTGCACTAGGCAGCCCTTCATGTTTACCTGGCATTGGTTACTGACACTTTGCACTGCCAAAATCCCCCCAGGTTTCCTTCAGTTAGTGTTTTTGGGATGATGTTAACAGTCATTTGTAATGAACTGAACTCAGTGTCCTTTGAAGCTGGAGCTCGTAGAGTGAGCTCTTCTAGCATTAGTGTAGATGCCCTTACCCTCAGAGCAGCTCCTGCTGTACTTTCTGTCCTTCTGAGTTCCCACCTGTGATCAGCTCTCCAGTTTTGTGAGAGTTGCTGACATTCAGCTAAAGGCTCTGTGTTACATCTGAGATCACTCCTGCTGGGGTTGCCCCTGTGCTGCCTGCACTGGCCCTTTTCAGCATCCTGGCAGCCCCTCCAAATGCTGCCACCACACAGATGTCCCTGAGGGCCACCAGCCTCTCTGCATCCTTCAGCTGATGCAGTAGCTTTTCCTCACTGCAGTTCTTCCACCACTGCAGTTTCTTCCAAAAAAAAGTCAGGCTGCTCCTGAAATGCAAGCATGGGAGGAGAGCGAGCCAGAGCCAGTCCCTGGGTGCTAATTGCTAAGCTGGCTTTGCTGTTCCCTCCTGCCTCTGCTCCAGCATCAGACACAGCCCCTCTAACCTGAATAGTACATGGGAAGTCCAGAAAATACAGGAGTGCTTCTGCCTTGAAGACGGACCAACTAACCTGCTCTGTAGTGGCTCAAATGCTGAGATGGGATGTGGAATATGTGCAAACCCTCCTCTGTCTGTGTTCTGCTGTTCTGTCTGAGAAGAGGCAGTACTGCAGGCTGAGGTTTGGTTGAGCAGGGGCTCTGAACAGTAAATGTATGTACTGGCACCTCTTGACTCCTGCACCTTTCCTTTTCAACAGCCTAATGGCTTCCACCCACTGGTAGGAAAAGAGTAACTGCTCTTTTCCTGAGCAAAAGGGACAGCTCTAGAGAAAGTCAGTGCCAAGGCTTGTGCCAGGGCTGTGCTGCTGTGCAGGAAGGACAGTGTCATCCCACTTCCTTGTCTTGCCACATCCCCTCCTGCCCCAGAAAGCCTCTGCTCCTCCCCAAGCCCTCCACCACTGGCTTGCTGGCACAGGCACCGTGGTGTAGGGCACGTCCCTGGGCACAAGAGCTGTGTGAGGCTGAAGAACAGCCAGTGCCATGCTGGCCCTTCCAAAGGCCAGCAGCTCCCCTCTGCTGCACGGCAGAGACTCACACCCACCCACACACCAACAGTGCCCCTGCTATTTGTGATGTTTTCATCCCAACAGCACTGCAGGGGTCAGTGATGGCTGGAGGGCAGACTTGGGTGGCAGTAAATCACACAGCTAATTGATTTGTCTCTGTGGGGTGGCTCTGCATTAGCAGGTCTGTGCACAAACTCTGCTGACAGCTCCTCTCCAAAATGCTCAGTTATCTGGGGACTTGAGTACTGCCCAGGTTTCACTGCCTTTGTGACAAGAACCATCTGTTTGGACCACAGTTCTGAGCCTTTTGCTGCCCATGGCATGTAGCCCTTCCACAGAGCAGAGCCAACCCTGAATGAGGGCAGCTTTTGTCTCATCCTTCGCTGTACTGCGGCATTACCTAACTCCGGCTTTGCCGCTCCTTCCTTAGCAACTTCTCTCCCTGCAGGACACTTTCAGCTTCCCTCCTAAGCGGTGTACATTCTTACAGGAACTTGTAATCCTGTTTTTTTTTTGTTCCTGGAGGCCAAGCTGAAAGAACTGCTCTGAAGGAAGTTCTCATAGTAAGGAGAGGTTGGGCTATTCACTCATTTGAGTAGCCGTCAGTGGCTTGCACCAGTATTCTAAAGTGATTATTCTAGGATTGTGCCATTTTTTGTTCTGAAGTGCTGTGTTCTAAAGAGTTACATCACTTATCAGTAGCAGTGACGCAGCTGAAATGCCAATCAGTCCCTCTGTGGGTCCTGGATTTACTCTTTGGTTGTAGAAGGGCAACAGCCACTTCCCTCAGCAGTGCAGAGGTTACCCACCAAAACATTATTTTCACATTTTACTGTTGCTTAAAACATCTTCAAATTAGCAAATCTACATGTTGTTGGATCTTGTCAAACTGTTTTTTTTATTGGTTTTGGCCTTTCAGAAAATCAAAACTGTCTTCAGTCACCACTGGCTTTTTTTCTGTTCTAAATTGCTCCTGTGCTGAAGATTTTCCTGTTGGTCTGCCTACAGATGGAACCATGGGCAAGTGAGGGGCCTTCTTTTCCTACAGCGTTTGAGAGACATCATAGCTATCTGCTGCTACTGACAGGAACATTTTGACCTGAGGTGGGGAGGGCAGGAAGCCCATTGCCAACCTCCTCCACAGGTATCCCAGCCTTGCAGGGCAAAGGTGGGAATTGCAGCAGAGCCACCAGTGTTCAGGTGGGCAGGACACAGACAGCAAGCGGGTGTTGTGCAGCAAGAGCCACGCTGGGGTGCAGCTTCTACCTCCTGGCAGCCTCAGTGCAGAAACAGCAGCGGTGGAAGATGCAGCTCAAGCCTGGCCTCCCAATTACCAAGTAACCTGCACAGGGAAAATCCAGGCTTGCAAGCCCAAGGAGGGCATAACCCATCATCTTAACATGCTTCCGAAAGCCAGCTGCAGCTATCTGAGGCAACTGGCACAAACAAGAAAGACGTATGTATAGATGGCTCCAGGCCTAGGGAGCTGCTCAGCAGACACATTTTGCATGTCAGTTGTGGACCCGGAGCATCTTAGTATATCTATTCTAATTAAGATAATGATTTTATAAATTGAGGATTTCTTTTTATCTTCTTGCAGGTGGTGCCTGTATTAGTGGAAGGTAAGATTTATGATTCAGTCATTGGGAAACACAAACTAGGTTAGGCAGATTAAGTGCACAGTGTTTGGCCTAGATTCTGCTGGATGTAAATCCACTGAAATGACTATACAAATTGCACAGTTTGTGCCCTTCGATTTTCCCTAACTTAATGCTTTACTAAAATCAAATAAATAAAAGACTTATTAAAGATACTCAGTAAAAGAACTGCTGTACTTTGAATGTATAAAATGCCCATTATAAATAACTCACACTTGAGTCTAGTATGTTTTTATGCAACAAAATCGATCCAGATCTTTTAAACACACAAACACTGACCACTATCAACTTGAAAGCAGCCTATTTTTATATCAACCTGCAGCAAAAGACTGCATGCTACACTTCACCTTCATATGAAGAAAAATGACCATCTTTTTTCTTAATAGATAAATTTTTTTACTTCTTTCTACATAGTTACAGTGTAAATGAGACCCACTTGCAGGCTTGTGAATCATGCCAATTTGACCAAGAACTGGGATTAAAATAATCTTTGGCTGAGTAGAAGGAAGCAAAGAACAAGCAGGGCAAGGTACATATTCCCCTGACCCCCTAGCCTGATCCATGCAGCTGTCTGGTTGTCCTCACCATTTATAATTTCTTCTGGAATGACAAAGAAAAGGGCAGAAAAGTGAGGACTCATTACAAATTCTAATAAAGATTCAGGATTTCTCTTTTTATTGCATTCGTTGTCTAACAACAATAATACTCATTGGCAAGAAATTTATTTACACTAACAAATTAACTTCAAACCACAAAGCTTTGTTGTTTGTATTTCAACTGTAAGAAAACAAAGGGCCACCATGATGTTTTCTTTTGATGCCTCCCAATGACTAAATGTTAAACAAAGTTATCCTGGGGAAAACTCAACAATCTAGAGAAGTTCATATCAACCAAGCACAAGAGAACAAGCTCAGACATGGCACTACTGTGTCCTTCATGCAGGTGATCAGACACCAAGATGTACAAACAAAAAGTTCAGAATAACATGCATTTCATATACATTTGACCTCCTTAAAAAAAGAACAGAAAAGGGAAAAAATCTGAAGCACAACTATCTCTTTAACCATTAAAAAGAAGCAATGTAAGAAGCCAATTTTTACAGTAAGCACAGTGCATTTTAGTCTTTTAGCTGCCTGGTCTTCTAGCAATGTGTGTAACACTTGTCAGTGACCAGAGAGATACCGTTGCAGTATGACTGGAAAATATGAAAGCAGTTGTTGAGTGAATGTGTATGGGAAAGTATAGAGTCAGAAGATGTTCACTGTGCACTCTTCACTTCCAAATAGGCTGGTTACTCCTATGTCTGGTGCCCTGAGATCCTCCTTTCCTTCAGACACTTCTGCACGGGGCCCAAATCCACTTCCACTGGTGGTAGTGGCAAAGGTCCCGCTGGAAACCCAGCAGGAGCCCCAGGCTCCCGGGTTACGAGAGTTGGATCTGACATCGTGAGCTGTGAGCCTTCCTCACCTCTTTGGAAGAAGAGACCTGCCTAACTCAGCAGGTTTCACAAACTGCTGGTTCTTAACACAATCCACACTTCCAAAAGAAATGAGCAGCCCAAGGCACTACCACCAAACCTTTCTGTAAGATGTGCATTTTTTAAACAATTTCTTAATGCTAAAAGCAAAAGTACCAGTTGGTACAGCTGGTTAGTAACAGAAAGCTCATTTTGTATTGAGGGTTTGGAGGGCTCAATGTCATGACTAACTATATTATAGCTTTGAAAAAGCAGTTTCACAGGTACAGAAAAAAGTCCAGAAAAATCCACAGGAAGGCTGACAAAAAGCCATCTACAGATGACCCACACTCCACTCTAGCGAGTGGGCAAGTC